GAAATTCCAGCATTTCTAGTTGGTATACCCAGTGTTTGATTTAATTGGTTATCTCCCGGGCAAACTTATCATAGCTGTTTTACACCCTTCATTTTTCACTTCTTTTTTTCACCTGTTTGTGTTCAAAGAAATATCACTAATTTCATGCTGAATATATTTCTTGAATATTGTAAAAACAAAAAGCAACAAAAAAATAAGTATATAACATTTTAAATGGGACACTTATTTTTCTAATGTCCAATTTTTACATTACTTATTCTAATGTAGTCCTTTTATAAAAAAAAAGAATTTCAGTGTTTATTCATTGCACAATTGCACAAAGTCTCCCCATAGAAAGAAATCAGGACCTATTAGTTCTTGGATGTAATTACAAAAGGCATGTGTTGGTGCTTTCAAACTGTTGTGAATGTCTTTTTTTTTTTTTTTTTTTTTTTTTTTTTTTTTTTTTTTATCAAGGGGAAGAAGAGAGTTTGGTTAAACATCAGCATATGGTAATATTATTTCAGATTGTCACTAGGCATCTATTTTTTTTTTTATCAGTGAAATTGAAAAGAAAATTAAGTTAATTCCTGTATGAGAAAAAAATTAACATGAAGTGCATATGAGGGGTTGAGTCCCTTGTTAGTCATTTGATTTAAAAGTTTGAGCACTTGATATAGGCCTAGATTGAATATATAATTAGCCCATTGATTAGACTGTCTTCTTTCCTTGTTTAACAGGAGTCTTGATGATTCCACATGGATTTTATTGTCTTTTTATGTAACTTTATTATTATTTTTTATAGGTGGCCAACTAGTCAGAATTTGCCATCATGAAAAATGTTTTTATTCTGAATTTTTATGTGTACAGTAAATATACCTTTAAGATAAGTATCTTCACATTTCAGTCTCCTAATTATTAGGCCAAAATGCAATAATAGAATGGTAATATATACCCATTGTTACAGGACAGTCATCAGTCTCACATTGTCTGGAACTTCGAGCTGTCATTCAGCCTAAACATGTGTGTGATTCTTTGATTCCGAACATTACTTTTTCTCTGCCATGGATATGGCTCCTGGCACTCACTATTTTTTTTCATTCTTTTATTTATTTGTTGATGCCATTGCAGTAGTCTTTACCATTAGCACTGCAGAAATTGCAGAATAGCTGCAACTAGATTTCAAGATGACTTGAATATGTGATTTCTGAATTCAGGAAATTTATATAATTTAAAATCTAGCCTCTGAACATTTTTATTTTGGCATGTGCTTAGCCATGTGTTTTTTCTTTCTTTCATTTTAATCCCCACATTGGTTCCTGAAGAATGCGAGATAGATACTGAGCACAATAGACCCTCCAAGTCTTTCCCTAAAGCCTTGCATTCTTGTGCCCTCCCATCACTTGTGCCTCGAACGGTTCCCGAGCTGTATAACGGATGAATCTGTTTGGTGCTTGGCCCATGGGTCTGACAACTCACTTTTATATATGCTCAAAATGTATTGATACAAATCCCATTCATTCAACTTTCTGGTAAAAAAAAGAAAAAAGAAAATGAAAATTTGATATGTAACACTGTTAATAGCTGAAGTTACAGCTGGAGATAATGTTGTCCATTAAATTACATGAGAATGAGGAGGGTTAGCAGGTTAATTGTTAGAATTTCTGTTTTATTTTGTTATTTATTTTTTGTGTAGATATCTAAAATAGATAAAATCTTGCCAGGTACACTTTGGCAGATGGAGTGAAATAAAATCTGAAAATAACTGCAGATTTAAGCATTCAATATTTTTACAGTAACCTACATTCTCCATTTAATCAGTACAAAATACTGTTTCCTCAGGCCTGGAATAGTTCATCTCTTTGGTTCTGTAAAAAAAATATATATATGTGTACATATAAACAGATGAAGCATTCACAAAAAAATGCAGATACATCTATATAAGAAATGAAAAGAGGCCCACCTTTCCCTGTCGTAAAAGGCAGAAGAATGCATTGAGTCAATCAGTTTCATATACCCAAAAGTCTCCTTTCATCATAGAAAGGGAGCATTTGAAATGGACTTACGTAAGAATTTATTTAAAACTGCTCCATAAATTTGTAAATATAATAGGACACTTACATATTGCAAAAAAAAGATGATGTGAGGGAACACTAATTGTATACATTATTGCTGAGGTGATGGGGGAGCAAAAATATTTACATTGTCATTTAAAAAGAAAACCGTAAAGTTAGGGAATCACCGCTAATAGGTAGTTGATCCTAGATTACAGGTAGTTATTAATGATGTGTTGATAACCAGTAGCTTTCCTCAGACATGATCAATGCAGGTAGCTTTAAACTTTCCACATTCCTTGCAAGACACGTAAACTATTTTTTTTAAATAGCAGCTTTATGGAACCAAAGTCCTATTATTTCATAATTTTTAGAGAGCTTGGTTTTTGCATACAAGAAGAATGGATCTCAATAACTCCTTAAATGACCTGCCAAGTGAGAGAGAGTTTCATCTCCGTCATGAAGAGGTTACTGACCAGAAGGCATTTGTAGAGGAGGAGAATGCAGGAAGAGGAGTTGAATGTAATTGCATGAACAAAAACAATTTGGAAGTTGTTCAACCTTGGCAAAGAAGGAAAGACTTGAGAAATTTCTTAGACCCCAAATATTTATTTATAACATACTGTAGATACAAGAGCCCAAGAATCTTGTGTTCTGAGATGCACTCACTGTTGAAGGAGCAATATACAGTTTTATTCCTCTAACTTTGGTTGACCATTACTTAATGATATATATCATTATTAATAGTGCAACATTTGTTATTAAGTCCTCCCTTATTCCTTGTGTATATCAGATGTCTTGTGTTTGTGTTCAGACAGTCCATATAAAGAGCAATAGGTTTATTGTAACCCAACTAGCTAACTGTAAACCAAAGAAGTAATGTAGGGACTGGGAATATGGGTAACTAATCCATTTCACATTTTAATATCTGTAAGAAGCTACTGAAGCTCTATTTCAACAAATATTTTTGCTACATGAAATGACTGTGTCATTAATGACAAACTTGCCTTGTAGTTTTTAGAAGTGACATGTCCTCATTTAGTTCTTTGTATTATATATTGTATTATACTGTAATTCAGTCAATATTAAGATTACATTCAATTGTACATATGATCATGGTATTTTAATGTTGTGTGTGCCAAAATATGACATTTGTTACTTATCTATTGGCTATTGATAATCAAAATGTCTCTTTATATTAGTTACTTGTGACTTGGCTGACTTTGAAATAATATATAAATTGAAATGTGTGAAATGAATATAAATCACTGTAACTTTGTATTAATTACTGAATAAAATATCATTATAATTGATTGCCTTCATATTGATCCCTCCCCACCACCTATTTATTTGCTGAAAATTTCTGCTGCATCAACAACTAAGGTCATTAGCGGCTTATTCAAAGTATAGTGGTATGATGATGCTTAGGGCAGTCCCAGGTAAGGAAAGGTCTATGATAAAGTATTAAGGTGAAAGGTGAAAAATGAATTAATGATGGTGAAAATATGTTAGATGTGTTAGATATGATAGGTTGCAGAGCGCAGTAAAAAGCATAAAGAGGGCAGGACTGATACTGTTAGGCCTTCATCCCTTCAGCACGGCTTACACACTTGTATTGGATGTGGATAAAAGAAGGGGATGACAAAGAAGGAAAAAGGAAGAGGAAGAAAAGACGACGCAGAATTAGTTGAGACAAGAGCTGAGGTCCAACATAGGGGTGATCCCTACATTTGGCCTTCTAAGCACCCCCTACTACACCACCTATTATCAGACACACAGCAGGCATTGCATTTCATACATTATTATGTTGTGTATATATTATATTAAACACATTTTGTTAAATATAGTGTTTTAATTTATACAAAGAATTTCAGGCTTCAGCTTAACTCCTGTACATATATATCCGATACCTCTTTTACGTGGATGCTAGTTATTATTCTTGGATTCAATTTGGTTTTCTAATTAATTTTGGTATGACAGACTGTGATATGTCCTGTAACTAAATCCTAACCATAATTTAGATTGGAAAATGTAATATTCCATTAAAATTTAATTGCCTCAACGTTCTCGTGCGTGGTTTTCATCTCTTTCGCAGTCGTTCCGATCGTCCACATCTTGTCAGTTATATCCGTCACAAGCTCGTGTACTATCTACCCTAAATGACTTCACTGGCAAATATGTCTGCCGAGCCTCGCTACTCTTAATACTCTTACTAGAACTGTTTCTGTCTTCGACTGATTGTCCTATCTACGACATGAACGGGTCAGACTGAAAACGACCTACTTATAATGCAGTGGCAGTACAGTTAGACTATTCCTCCCAGAGGCCAGCGTAAGTCCTACACTAATATTTCAGAGTATTTTTTAGGAGCTGCCCTACTAATAAGCTCGCATGTGAGGTAGTTGTTCTCAGACTTAAGCTAGGCCTCATTCTACGTGAGGTCAGGTAGGAAGCAATGCGACGGGTTTTTCTTTCTCTACCTTTTATAAAATTGTACTTCGCTCTGCTCTCAAGATGTCTAAGCATCTCCCTCAGTATCTTTTCCCTTTCCCCGAATCATCTTACCTCTACTCCCCCTCCCACCCGGAGTCAAATTCCTTTTCCAGTCTAAATCCAGATACACCAATCTATATCACTTCCTCAGTGCCTACCCTCCTCCTCACTTTGCCTGTCGCACCAGGCATCCTAAACGTTCCACTCATCTACACCATCCTCTCTTGCTCTTCGGATATCTATCTATCCCCTCTTCTCCCCTCACAAGCAGGACTGTTGGATTCGGTATATAGTGACGTTATCATGACGTATTATGTAGTCGGTAATATAAAACGTCACAGTTGGTAATTTTTCATTATCGAATGTAGAGCAGATTCTACCTTTTTACACAAGTACTTGTAGAAAGTAGTTCGCATATATTTTCCCCATAATAATTCGATCCTAGAAAATAAATATGAAATGTACTATTTTAGGCTGGTTTATACATAGATTTTAGTTGTTCCTACAATTCATGTTCAATCCTCACAATCTAACAATGCATGTTCAATCCTCACAATCTAACAAAGAAAACTAGAATAACAGCCAATCACAACACGAGAACTGCAAATCACAACACGAGAACTGCAACCAATCAGCGCGTTTAGAAAAAAAAGTCGGAAAATCTGACAGCCCTGCTCACAAGGACATTTGTTTCTCAGACATTTTCACCCAACTCTCCTCCAGAAACTCTTGAAGACATCCAGAACTCTCTGAACATGAGAAGGAAACACTCCCTCATCTCATCCACCCTCCAAATCTGTCCCAATTCCTCCATTTTAAAGTATTTGTTGATATCCACCCTCCTCCAAGTTCCCTCTATCCCTCTTCCTCCTACTCTCCCAACACACCCCTTCCTCTTTTCTTTGTGCACCATTCCCTCTTCGTTCCCCATTATCCTTGCCGCTCCCATTTGAATACCTTCTGTCACAACAATCTAGCCCCCCCCCTGACATTCATCCTGATACTTGCACCTTTCCCAGTCCCCTTTCTCATTCCCCGGATTATTCTCCTCATGCCTTTGCACCAGCTTTTCCTTAAACAATGTCCCTATTCCTTCCCCAGTCCCAGATGCAATCAATCAATCGCCCTCCTTTAAACTTTTCCTCCTCTACTAATCTCCGTTTTAGTTCATTTGCGACCCCTCTTTACCCGTTTCACTACCATACTATCTTACAAGACTCTAATCTTTGATATCTAACATTTTATCCTAATCTTTAACTCTTTTCGCCATGATATTTTCTCAAAGAGCAAAATGACCTTTGATGTCTAGTACATGCATTTGTTTCACCCATTAACCCTTAACCAGGAAGTACAAGGTGGCCAAGTAAGGATTTTCTTTTAATACCTTGTCTGTTGTGTTGAATCTATCCGCACAGTGTTTCCTTTGAGGTAGTATATCAAGTCAGCTTTTTCCAATTTAGTTACACATGACTTTCCGGCATTCAATAGCACTTAGATCCTTGTACTATGAAGTGGTGGCAGTTTAGGCCGAATGGAATTCATTTAGTTACGAAAAATGCACGTTCACTTTAACAGTTACATAATCTATGCTTAGTGGACTTAATGCATAACAACTAGGATCACAGATTGTTGATAGTACTTACACACAGATGAATAGCTAAATACAAAATGTCTTCTACCACAATCTGCACCTTCAGGTAAAAAAAAAAAAAAAAACAATTAAAGATTTAATATTTATTAGCAAAAAAAATTAAAAACTTAACAGATAAATGTCAACAATTTATCATTCATAGAAAAATCCTTTGGTATTGAATCTGAGAGTCAAAATTGCCTCTGGATTTTTACAAGAAATCCAAACCAGAGGTCTGTTCTTGGTTTCCATCTTCTGCAGATCAACAGGTCTATCGCACACCGAAATCTGCTGGTAAAGCCGGAACCCCTAAAAAACAAAAAAACACATTAACATACTCTTCGGAGAATTTGTCAAAATTCAAATTTATCTGAAATTATGACTTGGGCATTGGGCTGCATGGGCATTTAATATCTTGCGACAGTTTTACTCACTTCAGAGAATATGTATTCATAAACGTCCAGTGTGCGTGTATGCTCCGAGAGAAGTAACAGGTACAAATCATCTCCGATTCGCATCTGTTCCTGGGCAACGACACCGTATGAGGCTAGAGATTCGTAGGGCTTGAATTTGGACGTGCGTACGTCGAATCTGAATACCTGTGGAATACATTTTACTATGAAAACAGCAACAAAAAAATGGATTGTTCATGCATATATCCACATCTGAGTAAAAAGTTTTTATAATTACAAATTTCGTCACACGGCATGGCAAGGAGAAGAGACCTTAACACTAACCAGAACTTTCGTTGTATATTTCACATTATCTTCAAAGGAAGAAAAGTCAGCAGCCTTTAACTGAGCTAAAGCGAAGAAATGTTCCTGTACTGGTTCACTCGAACTCAGGAATATAGCTGACGTCACGTGATCTCCCATGTACTCTCCTTGCACTAAAAACTAAGAAAAAACACTATCAGTTTGAATGAGACTGTTAGAGAACAGAACACCTTTTCATACAACAAGAACTATCATCATGCAATATAAAATATAGCGATTTAATCCGTGTTAAAAACAACAACAAAAAAACGTACCTTTTCCTCGGAGGGGAACCAACCATATACAAGCGACTTCGCAGTGTAAGGATCACTCGTGCTGTTCCCTGTCGCAGCATTTGCTACCAACATGTACCAGCGATCATTGACCTAGGAGAAAACGTTTAATTTGTGTAAATATACAATTTTCCGTAGAGATAAAGACGTGCAAATATCATGAGACTTATGGACGGGTACCTTTGTCATGTCCACCGTCGAGGCACTGTTGTGTGTAAGTGTTGACCAAACCTTGACTAGCTGGTTTTCCTCAAGCCGTAGTGCAGTGACCAGCGTCGTCTCGGTTAAATCGGTCACTGTTTAAAATTGTTCTTTTGAGACATTGTACATGAGAAAGGAACGTATCGCTAAATGGTCTAAACTTTTACGCAACAAACCACATTTTTAAATTTTGTAATTAGAGTCAGATTTACATATAAACTGTTTATATTTATTTAAATCAGTCAATTTAGAATCTAAATATTCGTACAGTTTAATACACTACGAGGCTCATTCATACATAAAAAGGTATGATATTACTAATTGCGATACTCCCAATATTTTTAGCTTTCCCAAGGCCTACTCACCATCAGCCATGCGACCAACAGTGACGAAATACGTCCGAGTTACTCCATTATCATCTGACGTAAAAGACGCAACGTCAGCGACCAAGCCCAATGTGTCATCCATGATAACTTTTGTATTATTGCTCCTTATTTTAAAAGTGCTGTATCCTGTTTGGCCGAAACATCTGTAAAAAATCAATTTCATTTAGTACTCGACAAACTGGGAAAAAACTAGTACAAATATATCCCTTTCATATTTCATATCTGATAGCTCGTAAACTGAAAATTCAAAATGTATACTCATGCTCAAGCCTTGTCCCTTCGGAAATACTGCTCTTGAAGACGAATACAGAATGATCACTGAAGGTAATATTATGCTGCAGGTTCCCATTTTCAGCAACCTGTGTTAATAGTTGCTGAAACTGTAGGCTTCGATTTTATGGGGCAAGGGTGTCAGGCTCGGAACCCTCGCGGGCCAATTTTCATTCCGGAGGGCCAACAAAGGGCAAACTTGGCTCTCTAGGATTACGTTATTAAAGCAAATTCTAAAATAGATAGTGACACTAAGAATAAAATATCACATTTTAATAATTATTCTTGTGACTCAGTGAGCCGTCCCGAGGGCTACGAGTTTGACACCCCTGTTTTGAGCTAATAAAAGTACAGCCATTTATATCAAGCATACCTGCAAAGGTAAATATTCACTTGCGAAACTCAAACCATTTATCCTTACCTGGTACATTGCAGATCTTGCATTACATGTACAGACCAAGCCACAGTCCCTTACTGCCACAAAATTGTTTTCTCCCCACTGTCCATGAGTTAGTTTCCCTGCAAATTCAACGAGCTGGTTCCCCACTCTCTCTCCGTAAGACATTTTCTCGTATATACCTGAAAATAATCACACTTGGAATACATGTCCACAGTGCGGTAATAAATTATTAATATACTCTTGGATCAACTTACCACATGTAAGACGATCATTGTCATTCTGGACGTTCATGAATTTGGTGCTCAGGTCGGTCATCTTTTCACTTTGGGACTTAATGTTTGACATGATGTTCGAGACCTCGTGGTCAAGATCGTGAAGCCCCAAGCCATTAACTGTTCCTTGTACAGTAACCGAAGTTTCCGAGTCGACCACGTTCTCAATAACCTTGTAAGAATATTTGTTCACTCAGCCACAAAAGAAGACAAATGAACATTCTAAAACATCTACAGTACTTCTTAGTAAAATAAAACCGAGATAACTGGACTAACCAAACTTTTTCCAAATGTAGCAGGTTTATCCTTCCAAACAACAGATCTGTTCAGCTCCATTATATCCATTTCATTGATCTGCATCAAATCAATGGTTCCATTTACAAACAGGCCTCCATTTAACTCCTTCACGCCGGTGATATGTTGTTGAGATTTACCAGATTTTACCACAACATCAGAGAGTGTAAGGGTGTTGATCTCTTCTACCTCAAGGTTACCTGTGTCAAACATTCAGGCACTGAGCAAGAACACGAACCCATTTCTCTGCTTCAGAAATAAACGAGCATAAAAATGGAAAAGAAAATGTATGATTTTTGAAATGGACATGGATGTACATTGTAAATTCTATCTAACATTAGTGGAAATGACCCGCAACAAACCTTTCACTTCAATTTCTTCAAATATGCAATGTGAAGTCAAAGTCCCGTTGCCGTTCAAAGTGACGCGTTCTTCCAGCAACTGCTTTAGGTCTATTCCGTCTAAGTGTCCATCCACCTATATCAGTATAACACCAATTTAAAATTACTCAACAGAATTTACACTAGATCGATTTATACACATATAACCGGGACTATAGTTATTTCAGAAGCTTCGCTGGCAATTTACCTTCAGATTTTCGCTGACACTAATGGGGGCCTCGAAAGTAATGCCACTGGGCACTTCCCAATCCTTGGAGACCACAATCAGATCGCTTGCCAAGACGTCACCAAGTGATTCTGTGGGATATCTTTATGCAGTAAAACTAAATTATCCTATTCTTGACTGTTTCAACATGACATAAAATATTTGAATAAAGACCTCCCTAAAAACAGTACAGTAACTTTTAGTAGCTTAGTTCACTGTAATAGTTTGTCTGATTAACAGAGATAAGGGCAATTTTACCTAATGGAATTCAGTATATTTTTTTTAAACCACAATGCAATAATATATTTAGTAGCATCAGAATATGTACTCTATTTGGGATATTTTTGGAAAGAAACCACCCATGGGCAATAAAATACATTAACTGATCCCATAACCTGTATCATCTCCTATTCTCACCAGAAATGTCGAGGTTTCCAGCAGCAAATCCATCAACAAAGATCTTAGAGCCGTCGATGAAGAGGGAATCACTCGTCGTTAATACTGCTCGACTGCCAAGAGCCGATATATTCAGGAAGTTGATGAGCACTCCGTCAGTATCAAGACGAGATATGGTCCTGCTTACGGTCAGATTCGCCACCGAAACTTCATTGGTAAACTGGAGGTCACAGCTAATGACCTGGAATGTAGGGAAAAAAACTTTGGTAAGATGATGTGTATTAATTAATAACTCAAAATATAGCAATGGGGTGAGGCTTCGGGAGAAGCCCCTGGGTAAGGACGTTTATTGGCTCATAAGGCTCATAAGGCTCATAAGGCGATGTTTGTAGATTCCCAGAATGGTTAATGATCAAGACAACATATGGGCCATAAATCAAACGTCAGACAGCACCATCATAAAGTACTGTGGCGAAAAGGTTAAAATTAGTTGATAATGAGAAAATGTATTAAATGTCAAAGGTTGTAGAGTGCTGCAGGTGAGTATGGTAGTGAAAACGGTAAATGGGGAAGAGCAGGCCGTCCAGGACTGACACAGGGCTTCATCCTTTCAGGACGGCTGTTATACCTTTGAAAGTGGACAGAAGGGGGTGGGAAAGAAACTGAAAAGGAAAAGGAAAGGTGGAGAATACCATGGAAAATTAGTAGAAGCGACGGCTGAGGTCCAAGGTAGGGATGAGCCGCTACATTGGGCCTTAGTCTCCGTCTCCTAAGCCCCCCCCCCCCGCCCATAACAACAAAGAGCAAGGGATTAGGGGTGGGGTTAATATGGACAGAATTATACTCGTATAATGGGGCACTAACCGTATCCTGATTATCCTGTACAGCTATATTATAAAGCTTGTCCACATAAACTCCATCCAGAGTTTCTGCCCAAAGGTCGTTTATTTGTACATCAGCAGAAAAAGTTGTGTTCCCTGCAACAGTAAAATACATGACAATTTTAATTCTTGCAATCAAACCATAAGCATGAAGTACATTTAGTGTTAGCAGATGGTACTTACAATTATGGTATTTGTTTACATGATACACTGTACTTGAGGCTACATTATCACAAGCAAAGATTTGAAGTTTTGAAGGATATACAGAGAATTGCTACAGAACATCTATAACTCCAGTTAAACTTTGGGTTTATTCTTGTAATCCATGTCCTAACAAAGACAAATCTATAACACACTGTACATGTTATCTACTAGCCTGTTATCTCTTGATCCGAGGACTTTCGGACCAAGGTTTCAAGGAAATGCTGGACATTAATCTTGGAGGATCCAGCCAGGATAATCTCTGAGATGGCATTCTCCTTCACTACAAGCTTATGCAGATTGACAGGCGAAAATATGTCAACTTCTCCTACACTTTTATTCCAGGAAGCAGACATCTCAAGCTGTAAGATCATTTTAGCTTAAAACTTTTCAAGATCATAAATAAAAGATAGAGATTCCTAAGTATATTTATTTATATATTTCCATGTCACAAATAACATGGATATTTACAAACCTCCATAACATCGCAACCATCAAGCAAGCCTGTGCCGGACAAGACACTGCTCATGACGACATTCTCCTCAAAGACAACCGTTCCTTCCAAAAATCCATCCTGATCCAACAACAAAAGGTCACTGGTATTCACTTCGTCAATAACCGGGGCATCAATATTTGCTGCAAGAAAGAGGCAATACAGACTTGATTTTGTTTCTCTCTTTTCTAAAGACCTGCATTTCTCACACATTTCTGACGTTGTATAGGATAATAAACACTTCTAAAGCAGAACATGTTTCTAGGGTTACATACTAGCCGTAATATTGGAGCTGAATGTGTAGTTGCCGATGATGCTCTGGTTACCACTTTTGGTCAAGATTCTGGGTACAAGTTCGGCCAAATCAATACCGTTGACAGTGCTAGGGTTGAAATCACCCAGGACAAATACAGGTTGATCTATTATTTTCGTTCCGGTGATTATGCCATCATGGTTCAATGGCACTACCTGTAAATTAAGAATTCAAACCATTTTGAGAGCCACTAGAAGGCAAACTAATGTATAGCATATTCTTCATGATTAAGAAATAAAAAAATGAATATGAATATCCACCTGTTTACCTTGCCTAAGTGATCTGCCCAGCTCTTGTTGTTTACTACATGCAGATTTGGTGCAGAGTTCAAGTGAACTGCCCCATCTACTGTGATTTTCCCTTCCACCAACTGTGATTGCAATGCCTCTCTCTTCAGACTGCGGGTTGCAAGGTCATCAACATCAACTCCATCGACCGTACCGGTGACGTGGAGTTGGCCCACTACCACAGTTGAAGAAAATATTTAAACAAAATGTAATAGTGCCTTGTGTTTTTATAAATTATATGTCTTGCAGATGCCAACTGTTTTTCCCCAAATGAAGTAAGTCGCTGGAAATTTACTCACTCTTTACCATCCATTCCCAACTCACCTTTCTCACAAAGATCTGACTACTGTGTAAATATCACAACACGTCACGAGCACGCACCAGTGACAGTTCCTGCAAAGTCAAGTGGTCCAGAAATAGTGGCACTTTCATTTGCCAGTACGATGTCAGTCGCAGCTTCTTTCAAATCGAATCCATTCAGACTCTCCAGAAGCAGGTTAGCATTTGACAGACTCATTGATGAGGCTTCTATTTTCTCCATGAAGGTGAGTCTCTCTTTTATGCAAATGGAAAAGGGAGAAGTAAGGAAATATACAAGATTAACTTTGGTTATTAATAAAATATATGCAGAAAAGATGCAACTTACCTGTGTGAGGCACAGTATAATCTAACATCAGCAGGTCTGAGTTAAATCCCAGCCGTTTAATTTCCCAGTGATGGACATGTCGCCGTCAATGGTCAACTTTCCATCAATTTTCTGAAAATGAAAAAAAAAAAAAAATATGTCGACCATCCTACACATGTTCCGGAACCTAACAGATCATATGGAAGCAAGGAGTATATGTAAAAAAGTTACTTACCACTTCCCCTTCTATGAACTGATCGCTTGTCAAGTCAATAACCTCTTCCTCCAAAGCAGATATATCCACATCATCAATTGTTTTGTGATCAACCATTTGCATATCGCCCTCTATTGACACTGGAGCCTGTTTTCGGGTAAATGTTGTTAGAATATGCTATAAAACTTTATGTGGGAAATAGTGACAGTAGAAAAGTCATAATGTGTATAATAAACTTGATTAGAAAGGGACGTGCTTCTAAGTATCATTGATAGGAAAAGTGTCACCTTGAAAACGTAAGATCCAGTAACGGTCTGTGGACCCTGTGTATTCAGGTAGTTTGTCATTTGCTGCTGGTTCAACCTTGCTCCATTCACGGTGTCTCTAGAAAGTAGTGCCCCAATTATTCAGTATAAATAACAAAAAAAATTTTGTACCGTTTTGCCGACACTACATAAATGAATAAAAAGCTACTTGATTTTCAAACATTGAAAGTATACCAATAACCAGTGGGTGAAAAAAATGTTCTCTATGAACAGTGGTCTGAATGAAGTGCCCTCTTCTTGAATTTGATCATTTACTTAAAAATTTATAATGTCCTTCAGCAAGTCTCATGAGACAACCTACATCTGGTTTTAGGATTAGCAGGACGACTGATTGATGGGCCCCCATTGTGTAACTACTTAGGTCACCTTAGGTCAGGTACATTGCTGTCCCACAGGGAACCTCACATCCCTCTCCCAAGGAAACCTTTTACCCAAGTTGAATAAAAAGGTGTTTGAAGAAAAGGGATAGTCTCAAGTGAGAGAGCATAGTGTGCATATGTTGGGTTCATGTGCTGTTGTGTTATGTTTATTCACTGGTCACAAATATAAGAGCAGAAATATTCATTCTTTTGAACCATTATTGAAAGTTCACTACAGAAACCACAGCCATCTAAATCGGCAGCTGCTGACATTTCTGATTCAGAGTCTTCCGACGGGGATGAAGAAATCCCCAGTAAGGAGTTTCAACAACATTAGACTCGACCTTCGATAGTGACGTCACTTGCTGCCTATATTTCAAAAACGTGGAACAATGCCTCGGGAACATCTTTCAAGTGGAGAAGGCGGGAGAATTTTCCTCGGAAACATTCCTTTTGTGGCAGTCCGGGGCTCAAGGTTCAAACGCCGCTTCAAATCTTCAAGGAATTCCTTGCTCATGTAGTGGAGGAAACGAATAGGTATGTAGAGTTAATGCTCATAACTTTATCTAGTGTTTATCAGTGTTGCTCAGCAGATTGAGAGGGAAAGGAGCCATGACCAGAGGTGGCAGCTCGTGACAGTTCGAGCGTCACTGCTACCTTGGTCTGAAGGTCCTCATGGAGCTGAGCTGGAAGCGTTGGATCTCTACTGGTCACGCAATCCGGGAGTTGCGATTGCCCATGACATATTATTGTGTGCAGACAGAATGACAGAATTCCGTCTTGTTCAGTTCACTTAAGTTCTTCGGCAATTTAGTTAAAAATCCCCACCCAATTACCTTGGTCTATCAGAATTTAGCGAATCTCTGATTAAGATTAAATACAATTGGGGATAGCGTAAAACCATTTCTGAACTGAGAAGCCTTGCTTTGCGCAAGTATACAAAGAATTTTCATGCCATCATGCATAATTGCGTATGTTCCATCACATATAATTTAATGCTGTTCAATGTGGTAGTTGAAATAATGTTGCATTAAAGTGAACGTTAATATGCGTGTTTGTGATTCATTCTTTGAATGAGCTCACTCTTCACACTCTTACACTTACACTTGAAACATACACACACACACATTCATTCACGCAGAACAAAAGAGACGGAACCTGTAACTACGACACAACAAACCCTATTAATGAAGGTTTCAGTTTATCCCGTAAAATTACAAAATTACCAATCGTGACGAGAGGCGATAATGCACAATTCTCATTTACATATTTGTTTCTTTCTCTATGAGACGACAATCGCTTCAAGTAAATCCTTGTGGATTGTAATTGTCGTTTCCCTTATCAGAGATGATTCGTAGCTCAAGCAGGTCTTTTCTTCTTGAAAAAATGAAAATAAATGAAAAAAACATTAAAAATTGCAAATTAATACAAAAAAACGGCTAGTAGCACTTAACACCCCTCCCCCCCGTCTTTTTTTTTTTCTCTTACTATGATCTGGTTCGATAATATATTAGATGGACTGTAAATATCTGACACGGATAGTTAGTGTAGGTATCAGTCACCTAGGATGCTGTGGAAGAGTGACTGGACCTAAAGGCGTCCAGACAGGCAACAAACACCTGGAGCTCATCATGGCAAGTATCTGCCGCCCTCAGATGCCGGAAAGGACACCCCTGCCCAACGTCCATAGATCTAGTCGCAGGTTATGAGACAGACTCAAGAGGGCATGACGTTTAATCCACACAGACCTTCCCGCTACCCGCCATGCGGCAACCCTCGCCTGGGCTTGCCACTGCGGGTTCCACTCAGCACTGACCAGTCTTGTATTTTCTACTTGTGCTCGTGTGTAACTCTTAACAATAAAGAGTTAATCCATTTAAGTAGCACCACTTCTGAGAACCAGTGTCAATGTAGGTCACCACCTTTTACACTGCCCCCAATTTAGCCCTCGGACAGGGAGTGGGTGAGGTGCCTCAGGCACTCCAATAATTTGTAACAACTATCATGATTCTAAGTGGTTCCTAAAAGAAGGAAAAAAGATGAAGAAATGTGTGAACATGAGAGAAGGAGAATTGGCGCGACTGGAAAGAGATGAATAATAACGCAAAGGTAAACAAAGTATGAAATCAATGTTGACTGAATGGCAGAACTGCACCACGAGTTTCATAGAAAAATTAAGATATGCCATGCAACTGGGCGGGGCAATTGTGATTTCGAGCAATTGCTGGACGAGGAGAGGGAGGCCGTATCCCACAGTGCGGGCAGGCCACTCGGAGCAGACCCTGACGACTCGGGGATATAATGGACAGTGGTGACGGTCCAAAAGCTGGTGAAAAGCTCACGAAAGAGATAATTTTCCAAGTGCCTCAAGTAGAGATGCTGAGGTGGATCAAATTTCAACTCTATGTAAGGCGCAATTACAGCCGCTCAGAGCACTTGCCAGAGCCCTGGTGGATCATGCAGCACCAGCACTTTCCATAGCCTGTCAAGGAATGTCGTCTTGATGCCTTTTGTAATAGGTCCTAGCACTGGATCATAGGGTACTATTATCGGGACCACACGTAAAACCAACGGTTGCACCATAAAACTGGCACGGACTTTTTGCACAATCCGTGATTGCCAACTCAGGCTATATGGCTGCCTGGCTCATTTCCACAGAAGGATCCTACTTACCACATTGTCTATGCAAGACAACCCTGGTTGGAGGTGGCCTGTGGGACGACTTAGGAAGTAGTGGCTTGGGCAGACTGATCAAACCCATTATGAAGAGCTTGAGGTGGGCCGAGTCCCTGCCTGTTGGTTCGACATGGACCCCTTTGGGTGGAAATGAAGGGTGGATGCGGCTATGCCCTCCCGTCGCCGTTAGCTCCAAATGATATAGTGTCCTATGCTTTAGACACAGAAATGCAGAGATAATACGTTAACCTGAGCAGGTTCTATAGATGCTTAGGAATGGCCAGGTATTTGAGATTTTGAAGAGGTACAGGCATTTTCATTAATAGCATAATCAAAACAATATGTAAACCATCTATCTGCATTCAGTTTGTTCTGATGCTGTTATACTGATATTGTTATAATTATTGGCATTGCGATTGTAATTGCCATACTGATATCGATAAAGAACGAAAAAATCTTTATAATTAAAGAAAACGGTAGACAGGCAGGAATAGGAATAGGCTCCTTGGCGGCTATGCACAATTGTTAAGCTACCTATTTGTAGTCAATTATCAGACGAAAATCTGAAGATGGTATGTCATGTGATGCCATCCCAGCAGTGTGGGTGACTGTCATTATCACTGACTTTATCACTGCATTTCCATAAACAAGTATGTAATGGTGCCTTGGACAGAGTCAAAGGCACCATGCACACTTAGTCCTCCCAAAGGGCTGTCTCTAATTCCATCGCTCTTTTCCGGGGCACTGAATTCACATTGTTTTCATTGTCTGTGTTCCTTTATGCTAAAAGCTACACATTTTAATCATTTTGTGTATGGGGTATTTTAATGTTCTAATCTTTTTCACTTTGCTTGACCATTTACATTAATTTGTTAAATTTCTTACGATCGTTTACAAAGGACTAGTTTCATGAATTGTGATATATCCCGTTTCTAGGGCAACGTCTGGCGTTTTGTGCAATGAGTAAAATTTAAACAAATGTTGGTATTGGTATGGAAAAGGATATTTTTAATTATAATTCAGTAGGTCTCATTACTTAAAAAGGTCCCATTTCAACATCGAAAGTTTGTCTGAACACAAATCACTTTTTCTTCGTTCTACAATATATGAAATTACACCTATTGCTGGTATGCAAAAATAATCATAACCAAATTTTATACTACTTCCTTTTTTACAGAATTTTAGATATAACATTGCAGAGGACTCACCGGAAAGTGGCGTTTTTCAAGGAAGGTGAAGCCGTGATCACCTGATCTGTACTCTTCCTCCAGTATCGGCTGCCAATGCCATCCATTGCAAGGTTATTAATGGTGTGTGCTGTCACATTTCCTGTTACCTGGAAGTTCACTCTTGTTACTTTCTACACAAAAGAATAACCTTGCATGTTATCTGTGTACAACTACTACACTGGACTTCTGTATGAGAAGAGAAGAAACTTTTTCAAACTAATAAGTTCCTATATATTTTCGTCCTTCTACATGGTTATCATGGTTATTAGGCATCTGTCATTCCCTGTTGCTCTTCTTCGGTTTCACATCTGCTGAAACTCAAAGAAAGGTATCTTTTTCAACACTACAAACATTCCTTCATAGTTATTCTAATTATTAATAGGAGGAATGCTACTCATGTATTTAATGTCCGTCACAGTTATGATAATGTATTTTAATTGTTAAGCTCATCAATGGCACTTGAATGGCAGTAATAGGCTACCACGGCACACGGAACGAAAGTAATGGGCGTTAATATTGGTTGCGACGTGGTTAGGGCGACTATGAATCCATGAAGTATTAAATTATATTGAGCCTCATTGTAAAGTCGTTGAAAACAGTGGCGGAGTCAGGGGGCAATAAGGGTTCCAGACCCTCCCAACTTTTGAATGTACATTCACCGTTAGTTTTAAATTTAATTTGAATCTCCCCGCCTTTTAGCACCGTAGGTTTTAAAACGTTCTTATTTTTTATGCAAAGAAATAAGAAAAATTGAGGGCCCTCAGCTTCAAAAGGGGGAAATTTTCGAATGAAAATGAGAAACCTTTAAAAACTTGGTGCCACTTCAGGTTTCTGATAAGTAACACTGATGTCTATGCAAATGGTCCATGACTGGTCTTAACTGGTGCACCTGACCAGAGTTAATGAGGATATTCTTTACAACTGATATATAAAGGCTATCATAGCATTCTTCAAAACAAGTTCCTTGTACACCAGCTAAGAAGTTATGCCTATGCTACACCATCTCCTTTTGAAGGAAACTTCGTCATTCCTCTCGAACCTGGAGAAGGCTCTCCAGTGACAGCAGACTGCTACGCCACGTTCCTTTGTGACATCTCAATGGGAGGGCTCACTGTTACACATGACCCAAGTGCTTACATTGCAGCTAGCCCATTCATTGGCTTGACATCGACAGTTACATATCACCTTGTCTCCTAAATATATATTCGATTGTACACAATGTATCGTACTTAACCGCAAAGCCCACAGGTTTTGGGGGAAGCTCTCTTGAAGGGAGCAATTAACAGACAATAGAGTTGTACGCAGTGTCAATTCTGGAAATACCCCTGAACTCAATGCCAGACTGGAGTCAGGCCTTGCCCGTATCAAAGCACCCCTGAAGTATTGGTTAAACAAGATACAGCAGTGTTACAGCTGTAGTATTATAGGTAGATTTATCAAGCCAGTGTTGTTCAGCAATGAAATTTAAGAAAAACTTTCTATAGCAATCGTCATGAAGTAAGACTTACTGCTGGAAGTAGTTAGTCATGTCAGTCACGTAGTAGTTAGTCACGATGGAAAAAAGTCAAATGCAGCAGTAGTTCACCCAATTACTTAGTGATTTTCATCATTCAGTATCTGATATCACTACAAATACCAAAGCAGGAGCCTTACATCTGATTATATGATAATTAGACACTGATGCGCGTCTGCAATCTACTCTACTGAGCTAAAGAGGATTTCTTGAATTAACAATTACGAATGTGATTAATGGGCTATGATCTTGCGAGTGTGGAGTTAAAAAACCGCTCAAATAGTTAATATATGTGGAGCATAAGGTTAAAGATGTGATGGTATAGGCACAGTTACAGATATAGCATTAGGACTAATTCTTGCCATTACACCGAATGAAGTTCTAAAGGTCGGCTACCCAGTTAAACTACTGATCCCGACAATGAAAATGATGCAATGAGTCGAGCAACCGTTTTCACATGGAGAGTCTTAACCGAAAATTATACATCCTCTAAGTTCTGCTACAATGCAATAATACAAATTTGCATCAACAGCAATTGTTGAAAAAAACTCCTCAATACAAGATAAAATGTGCCATGCTGTGTCAGTGTGAGCCCACCTGGAGAGGAACAGTCAGGTTGATAGCATCACTGATCATAAAGATCTCCGTGTATTCCATCATTCTGAGGGATGAAGGATCGACCAGGTTGATTGTCGCTCCTTCTGCCATGAGGACGCCTTCGCCACTCGTCACTCGCACGCTGTCATTAAACGTTATGCGACCTGGCATGTGCGAACAAAATGGTTACATGTTATTTAAGTTTATACTGAATATGAAGAAATTGGTGCCTGGTTTGTGTTCAGAGTAAATGTGCACTATTTTCGTAAATGATTAAAATTAAAATCATTGGGCATCTTGTCTAAAAATTGTAAAAAAAAATCCGAAGTAGTAATAAAACCAATCCTTGTATACTGGCAAATTGTGCATATCGAAGACTAACATCTAGGAAAATAAAGTCTGGGAAAATTAACTTTCAACTTTTCCCCAATTAAGGAAAATATTGTGCTGTGGCATTATTCCAATAAATATCTTATGCTGTTGAATTGCATGTTATTTTGCTTATAGTCATGGATGCACTTGATGTGTAAGCACTAGTATCTTCAGACAAATATAGAAACCAAAAGCAGTTAAGAAAATATGCAGACTCTACCATTTACTGGGCATTCGAATTTCATTAACGATCACCATATGGTGATCGTTACATGCTATCAACATTTATAAATGCTATACACCACAAATAGATCTCAAATAAACTTCACTTATACTGGTTTAAGTTTAGAAAGGTGTATTACTTTCATCAATTGTACTACACAACAAATTGAATAAAACCAGCTGTTAATTTCAATGCGATTCCGATTTGCTTTTTTTTTTTTTACTTTCACATAAAAAGAATCATTTACATTACTATAGTGTGCAAAGTACCAGTTTATCATTTATCTATCAAATTTTCCTATCACCACTTGAGGGTGCCAGAGATTCATCAGATTCCTCAAAGACCCCAAGGTCGAAAGTATTACAGTAAGAAAAGAATGATCATCTGTGTCTAAGGTCTATGAACATACCGTCTATAATGTGGTCGCCTGTCGTTAGAACTACGTCTTGGCTGAAGTTGAGACCGTTTACATTTCCACTATTCATGGCCGTAGCTATTGTAGCGTCGTCAAAGTAATAATTGCCAGATATGACGTCACTGGAGGACACTTTAATCATGTCTTTCCATGGGATTTCGTTCACTCGGGGATTGGTAACATTTCCTTCCACGCTAACATCACCACGGTATGCGATCTTACCTGAAGAAACCGTCATAGATATAAAGTAATAAGAATTAATTTTACTTTCATTTTCATCATGTAGTTTTATCTAAACGGTAATGACTTACCTGACAAAGTAAAGTCACCTGAGGTCCTAACAACAGACTCGTTTAGCAGTTTCAAGTCAACATTATTTATGAGTTTTACGTCTGCATTGCCCTCGACCTTGACGGCACGCAGAGTATAGTCTCCCCTCAGGATCTGGGTGCTTTGCCCTGTTGTGTACACCGTGCGATTCGACAGGTCAGCTAAATCAACCTGTGTAAATACAATTAAGGGTCTGCAACTGTCCCCAAATACAGCGTGCAATATACCATCTAACAAACAGGTTTTGAATACATACACCATTGACCAAGCCAGCGTCCAACGACTTAGCCACAGTGAAATTCTGGAAGGTCTTCACAGAGGTGAAGGTGGCATTAGCGTCCTTCATAACCATATGTTCCGTATCTACTCCGTTAATGAGCATGGACACGTCAGAGTTAATAGCTGTCGCATGGACGTGGTCGTACGCATGGTGTCCAGTCACTTCCTGAGAGGTGGCATTCTTCAGCATAAACTCTGAAATGAACAGGCGAATCCAATCCTATCTTGCATCATTCCCCAGCATTGTAATCGATATTTTTGTACCATTTATATATAAACTTGGCAGTGATTATCTACTTATTTACATACATTTTATTCACTGATGGTGGATATACTACAAGAACGATAGAGGAAAATGAATCCGAATTATAAAGTCTAATTACAGTTTCCGGATTCTCTCTCATTTATCATAATTTAATTATATAATTACCTAGTAAATTTTGAACACATGTGTACTGACGGAATAATGTTTATAGTTTACTACTTCGGAGCCAGAGAAATATTCAGAAAAAGTTTCAATCTGCAAAGATATATGTACTTTTACATCTATGCTACAACCTGCATATGAAACAGACGAAATGCATGGGGTGGCTGTAGTTTGATATTCTTACAGAGAGAGAGAGAGAGAGAGAGAGAGAGAGAGAGAGAGAGAAGAGAGAGAGAGAGAGAGAGAGAGAAGAGAGAGAAGAGAGAGAGAGAGAGAGAAGAGAGAGAGAGAGAGAGACAGAGATGGGGATGGTACAACGAAAAACGTCTTTGAATGTTATAACATATCCCAATACCGATCTGAACACAAGATTGATGGACATGGATGCAACAAACTCACGGTTCGAGTAGACGCCGTTGATGGAGGTCGCTGGCAACTCCGTGCGCGTGACAAAGCGTTCCGTGTTCATTGTGTGGAGTGAAAGAACTGAACTGACATTCTGGGCGATTCCATTCATCATAAACACATGGTGCATGTTCAGGAGTGGCACATCATTTAACTGGGAAAGTAACAGTAATGAGTATTAACCGATAAATTTAATCAATTCTGATGATGGAAGTATTACAAGTTCCAGTTCGTTCCACTTTTTATGGTGCATTTGCGCCTGACATGCCTGGAACCATCACACTTTATCGCAACCTACTGAGGGAATAAAAAATGCTATTTTTTAATCACTCCACCTTACTAGAAAGACCTTAAAACATCGGAAGACAAACATTACATTTCTAAATATATCAACTATTTACAAAAGGAAAAACGATTTTCAGACTTCCGCTTGTGACATCACCAGTAGTTCAGTCGCCGAAAGGGGTACTTTCACCAGGATGAGATTTAAATCCTCCACTAAAATATATAAAAATATCTACACAAAAAAATCTTTGTAAATAGAAAATGAAAAGAATATTCAAATCCAGTTTTGTCAAGAAAAATGGAAAAAAAAAAAAAAAAACTCGTCCAAATTCCGTTTTTAAAAAATGTGACGAGATATACCCCAGTGGTTAACTAAGGTAAACAAGTCCTTCCTACCTTAATAGACCAAGGAAAAGGGCAATAAATACACAAGTGCCTGAGCTCTTTGCCTGCGTGTGGTGGTTCCATGCACGTCAAGACCGGAAAATGTGGAGCGAATAATTAATTACAATAATTAATGATAGAGAACTTGTAGTACTGCTATTCATAATAATCTATTATGACTATGGTTATATCTATTATCGTAAAATAAGAAAAAATATAATTTTATAGTCATAATAAACAGTGATAAATGATTAACAATGACCAAAAATATCTAGTTAATATTGGTAAATTTCATTAAGTATTGATAAGAGGCTACCAGACAACCCACAAGGCTCCACTTACCTTGTCTATATTGATAACATTCGACTCGAACTTATCAGAGGAAAGCGAAGTAGCATCAACAGGACCAGTGATCTCTTGGTTCCCGGAATGGTAAAGTATGTCCGGTATGTTGGAGGCGAGCGTCTCCACAAGATCCTATTCAGAGAAAACACGGCCATTTGGTGCGCTTTTGAGAGCAACTGATATGTATATTACGGATTTCTAAGTGTAACTGCGAGACTAACCTCAATTTCTGAAGTTTTGTTCGAAAAATTGCGGAAAGTGTCTGCATTCGGGTCGACAGCGTCAGCTCCCTTTATAGTAACTGTCTGGAAAGAAGTCTTGCCTCTAACAGACAACCCACCAGAGAACGTCACTGGGCCGGTCCAAGTCTGGAAAAGGATAATTTTTTTATAACAGCTTTGATAGTCACTTAGACTGATGGCATGTCACTCATTAGTAACTTTAAAATAAAGTAGTTATCTGGATCCCAAAAGGTGCTTTTTCACGTTTTCCTGAGAAGCTACCGATTGTTATTCCCTGATCTCTTCTTCTACCTGATTCTTATCCGTGGTCATCAGGCCACCAGTCGTCGTAACACTCTCGATGTATGATAGAGCACGTTGACTTCCAACAAGCTCACTCCGCAAGTCTTTTAGGCAAAGCAGAAGTTCGCCTGGCACATTCACTGGAGGCTCTGTAAATTCATGAAGTATACTCTAATATCCTACTGCGATGTTAGTTTTTTATAATCACATACAAATTTGTGAACCAGAGAAAGCTAGGAATAATGCTTCTCCAATGCAATGAAATTGAGCAGTCATTTATTTTTAACAAGTATTTCCTTACCTAATTCAATTTCCTCTATTGCAACATTCTGTGCTTCCAGATTGGTATTGCCGTGATCGTCTTTGCACGTGTAAATTAACACATGATTTCCTTCCATTGGGACCATGAACATATTGTCAATGATGTTACACTTGGTTTCTATGACAAAGTCGGAGCGGTAATGTGCAGATGTATCGTCCGTGTAAATAGTAATTCTACCCTGAACAAGAAAATATTTGGTTGAATAATAATGAAATAATTGTAGTTGTGACTTTTCCTAAAACTTCAAACAGCTGAAGAATACTCACGCCATTAGAAACCATTATTATAGTTTCGAAGGAAGTGAACAAGAACGCTTGCACACTGCTGCTTTCACGCGTCAAGGGAAGGGAGTCTAATGCTTGCCAAAGCAGCAGCTGTTCACCTAGGGTAAAGAATATAATTGTTTAAAATCTCTCTGCACTAGTTATTTTGGAGAACAGTTAGAATGCTGTAATTCATATTCCGAGAAATGACTCAAACCTCAAACTAACTTGTCCACCAGTAAATCTTGGTAGATCCTTCATTATTCAGTGTTACAATATAATGTTTGTTTTCTTGTGCTTCGATGTAGTGCAAAACTTTGTAGACATCAGTGTCCGGAAGTTGTTGTAAGAGAGTCACAGTTTGTACAACAGGGTCGAACTTGTAGACTTGCGAACCTTCCTGGAGAGAATAGTTTTCATCTGAAGCTAGTAAAGATGGAGGAAACTACAGGCTACAGGAGATAAAATATACTGTGAAACACTGCTTACTGTTGTTACTCACAGAATAGGACATGGCAAACACGAGATAATAATTGCCCCATTCACTGAAGCCTGTAACATCATACACATCCTTAGTTCTGAAGACTAGTTCATCTTGGCGATCAAAGTAGTTGCCATTCAGTCGATATAATCTTCATACCCCAACATGACCATGAAAATGTAAAAAAAAATCATGACCTAATGGGTTCCAAACTGGAGAAATTTTACAACACACCTGTATCACTAAATCCTTCATTAGACAAACTTAAAAAGATACCGAGATCTGGCATGAAGTGAACCATCGCCAGTGGGGTCCTTGGCCCCGACGACCAAATACAACTCGCCCGCCGCCTCGAACATGAACAGCCGCCCACCAATCCTTCTCCAGGGATAATCTGACTGGACTCGGCTGCCGTCGGCGAAGTGAGGTCCACCCTCACGATTCCCACGAAATTGGCTGCTGGGGGGGCCACCGCAATCCAGAGCTGTCCGCCTATGATGTGGCTCTTGATCAAGTAATATAAACACGCTTTGTATATAAGTTGTATACATTATGAATAAAAATGGTGAAGGTATTAGGGCTACATATCATGCAGTAGTCTTTTAACAAGTTATATAGCTGACAAAAATGAATTATCCCTTCGTGCTTATCCAAAATGGGGAACAAGACCTGAAACCTTAAATAACTAAAGAATATATTAGCAACACTAAAAGTATGTTCGTGTCTAAGCTTACAGCAATTTTGTCGACACCACCGAAAATATGTAACTCGGAGTCTACTAGTTGGTGAACTCCACTTTCGTTTCTGGATACCTCGAGCACCATAAGGTCATGATGGCTATGGAAAAACAGGAAAAAAAAGGCAGATTTATGCAATTAACCATGGAGTTCCAAATTCCAAACCAATATGTAAAAGAAAATAAATAGCGAGCACATGCTTTAAAAAATTCTAGCAGAGCGCACACTATGAAATACACTTTACTGCAGTGCCCTTTACCTGTGATACCCTAACACCCAGTAGTCTTTGTCTTGCGCAGCCAGAACCTGCAATGCTGAGACCTCTTGAAGGAGAGAAGAGAAACTAAGCGTCATTGTCTCCGTTCTGTTTACCTTCATGGAAGTGACGTCAAGGTCTGGAATATCAATTGGATTTTAAGCCTTCCTGGCTAAAAGCGAGAGGTTTGTCTCTGTCACAGGGTAGATTTTTTTTTTGCAAAAGGTAATTAGAATAAACATTATGAATTGAACTACATCATGTATTCTTACCAGTGTAGTTTTTAACAATGACTAAATGCATGAAAATTTACCTCGTTTATATCTGCGAGTTTCTACGGAAAATGCTTTGCTTATCTGAAGGTTTGCGACGTCCAGAATGCCATCTGTATATGCTTTCAGGTCTGCTAAAGATCTGAATGGTCTATCGTGCATCGTAGCCATCTGACAATATAAATGTACAATTCAGTTACTGTTGCCCTTTTTCTAAGCACAAGAGAGTGTATTTGCGCATGTACACGAGTGTGTGTACATGTGTACATATGCTTAAACCGGATAAATGCCGAAGTTTTATATCTATTTTCAGGTTACTATTCGCAATTACAAGTCGTTAAAACGTTATTTAAAACATGCAGGTTTTCATTCCAGCAAATCACCCAATTTAAATATCACAGCCAAAAAATACCGTATGGAAAAACAGAACACTCTCCCTAATCCTTTCGTCTATTTACCAAGTTGGCGAGGTTTGGAGGTCCTGGTAGAGACCAAGCAGCAGGCAGAGAGGCAGTCACCATCAATAACGCATGCAATACAAACAGGGACATGTTTGGTGCTACAATCTTGATCATATTCCTGCCTGAAAAGAGATACATCCTCATCAAAATGCTATTTGAATAGTGCTCATAACTGCCTAAAAGCTTTAGAAATAAAACTATTTGATTGGAATTTTGTAGCTGAGTCGACGACTTGGTCAGTTGTGGCTATTTATATACTTGTACAAATGTCAACATCGAATAAAATTGGTTATAGGAGTCAGCATACTGGTATGCTTTACATTCCTCCATGAAAATTGTAGTGTAAGAGGAAGACGTGTTCTTCCCTCTCTGTTTACCTTGTGGAGTGCAATAATCAATGTGATGAACAAGTACCCCTTTTCATCAGTTTTCTCCGGCCTAGTTCATCACTCCCACCCTAACCTTTGATCTTCCATTATGTTTTACCAGCTTTCCGTCGTTTGCCCTCATAAGCCTTGGTGTTCTTCTGTAGAAGGGGTGTTTACTACATGACTGGTGTCTATATCTCAGAGGAGGGAATCGTGTGGCTGTGTTAGTATGGCTGGGTGTTAAAGTTGTGGAGATCGCTGTAGGAGCCGAAGCTCCCTAATGGTTACTGCTTAGCTGTGGTGCTGTTGGATGATCTTGAGACGATGTTTGATCTCGTTCCAGTTTCTACAGCTTAAGTACACAGGAGTTGTGTAAGCTAACAGGGAATGAAAGGAGCCTGCAGTCCAATCAGAGGTGTCCGGGTGAGCCAGTCAGGACTCGTCAGTGAGTTATGGGTTGGGTTTGGTATACTCCCCTGTCATCCGCTCTTATGAGGATGTAATTGATTAGTGAGAATCACACCTGGCGCCACAATGGCATCAGTGGATGACCCAAGACCTTCGACTTTTAAGGGTCTATGCGTGAAGAATACACCTGATGCTCTCATCTACCTTTTCAAAATTCTTCTGGTGAGGAATGTGTGGAATCGGACAAGGGGTACATACCACCGATAAAGCAGCACAGCGCCAAGGATCATTCCGGCGAGTATTTTCCGTCATTCCATATTCTCTCACAAATCCTCACATCCCCCTCGGTGATGATTCTGACTGACTGAATTGGAGGAAGATTTTGTGCCACTGGATGACATCGTACTCCTATGAGAATCTCGCCGAGTAAGAAACTGCAGGGATCATACCACCCCCGGTACCTTCTTTGTTTGGAAGGAGAGAATGAATCGCTGTGCTTCGACTTCAGAGCAGCTCCTGGAGTCAAGGTTCCCGACGGATGTTGGTTCACGGCCAGAAGAGGTCTACAGCAAGTTCCTGACAAGAACTGGAAAAGTTTTGGTCTTATGCTTGGCTGATGTCGTCGGCGATTTTCTCCACACATGACCCAGAATTGTTTCGTTGGCGCTTCGCAGTCAACTAAGCCGAGCATCAAGTTGTGCAAGCACTGAGTGACGAACTTGAGTACGGCTACACTACTGCCGTCAACATCGAAATAGGGCAAGATCACGGAGATCCCTGCAAGCATAAAGGTGGCAGTAGAACTCTTGAAAAGAGTGGGCATTGTGACTAAGGGGTACAGAGTACACACTGACAACTGGTACTCATCCCCAAGTCTATTTCACTACCTGTAGGAAAGAAACAAGTGCTGGCGGTGCAGTTGAACATGCCGACAGATCTGCAGGCAAAAGGGTGAGGAAACAGCCTTTCACAGCACAGACTCAGGAATGTTCATCCTTCAGAGGATGGACAAGAGCCTGTCCTCTCCACAGTCCACACCAATGAGAGTTGTTCTTGCTCCTATCAGGAACTTTTAAAAAGCCGCAGGTTGTACTAGAGTACTACAATGGCATGAAGTGAGTCATAGCTTGCTCAATCTTCCATGTCTAAATAAACACCACAAAGTCATATAAAAAGATCCTTTTCAATTTCCTGGACAGAGTTGTCAAATCCCTGGCTGTACACAATGTCTTTAATTTGAAATTGGCCTATACCATCTTCCTGCTATAGTTTGTGCAGGGCTTGCTTCAGAAGAGTGCTGAGGAAGGAGGACCCATCTCACTCCTGCTCCTGCTGTTGTAGTTGATGTCGAGGAGCATATGCAAGAAGGGATACCCTTCCAAAGATAGCGATGCTGTGCCTTCTGGAAGACGAAGGGGAAGAGGAAAAACGAGCAGCATATGCATATATGTCATTTCCCTTGCTTTAGGGAACATCTTAGCACCTTACATGCTCCCTGAAGTTCAAACTATAAAATGTGTAATGCAACTAAGTACATTTACAAATATTATAAAAAACACCACTTACTTTACATAGTAAACTTCCACAAGTAATGATATATCATTACAAGTAGGGGAAAAAGGACATCCAGAACATTTTAGCGTTTTTCCCCCCCTCCTCCCCCTTAAAAATTTAAATTCAAATCCCACCACCCCCCTTCTCCGTCCTGTCCTACTCGCGCTGACGTCTGCCAGGTCACACTCCACAGATGGACCCCCCCTCCCTCCCGTGCCGGCCCGTTTCACCGTCGAACACCGGACAACCCCACCCCCAGCATCTCGAGACAGGAAAAGACGCGTGAGTAATAGTGAACCTTTGCGTCCTAGGAGAAGAAGATACCTCTCTGACAGTAAAAGTGAACTAGATGAAAAAGATGGCCGCCTCATTGTCACTACTCACATTGCCCACATTGAAGAAAACTTCAATCAACACAGGTCAAAGCTTAATTTTAATATACTTGAAGACGTTCAAGCCTCTCCTCACGAGTATCTGACTAACAACCAATATACTCATTAAATCGTAATGGGTCAAATGATCCTCCGCAAACCCTAAAATCGCATACTAGCTTTAAGCAAAGCTAGTAAAGTAGACTTTGAAACAGATGATGTACGTATTATCGAAAAGACACCCTCGGCAGTCATGTTATCGCAAGCGATGACGATTGTGGAAACAATCAGACATTGGATTGAGGAGGCAGCAGTAAGGGTTGATGAACTTACAACTGAAGAGGGAAGCGGGTTTGACATTGAAGATATCCTCTATCATCGCATTTACACAGCTCGGCTTCTCATGCCACAGGCTCTAGGGAAGTACGTACCCTATCCAAGTGGTGTTTGCGAGTCAAGACAGGTTTTTAATCCGCTGTCTAATACCGACTAGCGTTATTCAGTGCCTGGCATGGGACCGATTAGCTAGGTCCGGTATTGCAAAAAAAATTATCTTGGATCTACTAGTGTCAACACCCCGAGACAAATGCGCGCGTTACAAAATCTGATAGTGATCAGCTCCCTGTGGCATGGCATTGTCTAAGTCAGCTTGAAAATAAAAACAAGCTCTCCATCTTTTTATACGCACTTCAGAAAGGGATAGTTAATAACAGTAACAAATATAATATATCTCAAGTTCACAAAGGGAAGGTCAGTAAAGATAGAGACGTGGTGCATTTATTGCTCTTTAACAATGAGCATTGCGCTCTCATAAAAAAAAAACTTGTAGCCTTTTGGACGTTTTTTGTCGAAGAGGGAGAAGCGCCCACAAACATTGTCGCACCTGTGTCATCATTTCCAACACAGAAAAGTGTAGAAAATCACATGTGCGAGTGCGCGACCCCCAGAGAATCCAATATCCACCCCCGGGGTCAAATGTCCTTTAAAAATTGGGGTAAGGGGTACAGTCAGTCCCATCTTTGCTATATGACTCGAGGCATGCATAGAATCATCAGGTGGTCATGGGTGGCAAAATCACTTCATAAAGCAATGTCGTATTGTTATCTGATTATAAACCGGAAATAGTTAACAGTCGGGTGTATAGTGGTAGTGACTTTGTGGAATCCTTAAGGACTGAATGAAGTAATATTCATAAAACAATGCCTTAATATCCTTTATCGATGTCAGAGGCAAACGAGATAGCTTTTCAAAGAGCTACTATGTGCCATCTCTGTAAAACTCAATTTCCATCAACAAAGCAACACAGACATCACGACCACATCACTTAAACACCTGAACTAATAGGGGCGTACTGGATGCACGGTGCAACCTTCAAATGGTTAATCATTAAGACAACTCTCGTAGTACACAATCATAGTTACGATCTAGGGTTAGTTTTAAAGGAGATGAAGCAGGATGTGAGGATCGGCATACATGTAAAGCAGGATCTGGACTTCTGATATCTATTGTAACATAGAAAGTTGAGAGATTTATCGATAGCTGTGCATTTAAAAGTGCGAGCTTATCCTCTCTGGCTAAATCTCACATTAAGTGGTCAACCTCTTTACTACAGTAAACACCTCATTCAAACAATTGCCACGAGGCCATGACTTCCACCACCATCGCGTGTTTTGACAAGGGTAAGTAATTTCTGTGTTGTAGTCTTGATGTTTATATCTCTATTATATTAAGGCTGAATATTTCTATTGCCTGCGATGTTTGTATATGCCGTAATAAACACCTATATTATTTGTGTTTTTCTCTCTTTTCAGCTATTAAGGAGGCTAAGCTTCCCATAGTGTTTATAACAACGCGGGAGGAAAAGTTGTCGGCAATGGTTAACGGTGAGTATATTTGAGACGAACTGATATTAGCGGTTTCACCATTAAGATTAAGCTATTTTTAAGACGTACGATCTCTGATATTCATATCAGCTATTAGTTTCTGTTAACCGAGAATATATTCTGAACACGTTCTGATATTATAACTAAACTATTTCAGGGTATACGTTGTCTTTTATTTATAACAAGTATTAGTTTTTGAGGTTCTAATCCTTTCTTTATGTTGCAGCTCAATCAGACCAAGTGGGTCTGTTTCATTTTTGCCGGCGACGAGTCGGGTGTGAAGGTGGTATCTGGGAACCCGGTCCCCTCGCCTCCGATTGTCGTGGACGAACCAGGTGCGCAGGTGAAACCTGGAAACTCGCTCCCTCACCCCCGAAACCGTGCGTTCTCGAACCCCCGTCAAGAACGTTGAGAGATAAGCCAGCCACCACCACCACCACCGAGGAAGCGTTCTCGTGAAGAGAGCCGGCACGGCATGGCTCACCGTTTGTTCGATCGTCGGTTCGCCCGGGGGTTGGGTCGTTTGTCGGCCCAAGGGCATCACCAATGCCCCAATACAGCCAGGGATCTCCTCTGGCGTCAACCATCAAGTGGGGCAGCGAGACTTCCCCTGCAACTCACAGGCGGAGATATTTCGGGTGAAACGCATTGACAGGAAGCAAAACATAACAGGTTAATACCTCGAAGATCTGAGCGGTGAACCGGTGAACAGAGAAGAGATAGTGCCCGCGGAATTACCATCTCATTATCTGTACAAGATTTTCTCATCTCGAGTGAACAGAGCAGGACAGGGAATGCCTCGCTCACTGGATCGGATATCCGAACAAGTTTAATTCATACATCACGGCTGATGATATGGTGCAATCGCCATAAACCAAGGCGACATCTGCACCTGTCAAAAAAAAAAAAAAAAAAAAAAAAAAAAAAAAACACTAGTGTCTGATCATGTAGAAATCCTGTCGCTCATCTGCTCATTAAAGCCAAAAGGACAATCCGAATTAATAGAATCCCTATAAAGAAATCACATTGACTGCATATCAGAGGTTTTTCACGATTTCTTAAAGAAAAAATTAAGAATCGATAATATTATAATAAAGAGGTTAAAAGCTATTCCGACACCACATTAAAACAGTATCGCTCAAGAAAACATTGCTAAAAAATAAGAAAAAAATTCTTACATCTTGCGTGGTAGGGGGAATCCTCTTTGTCCTACTCCCACTGGCCGTAAGTGCCTTTTCGTCAATATTCAGATGCTAGAAAAAATTAAAACAATATAGTCTTGTACCTCGCTCTATTATGGATCGATATATCGCTGAACCGATATGAAATTAGAAAACGATGTCATAGGTAACGGAATAACGGAGAATAGTGGGAGCATCAGAAAAAGAGTGG